CACAAAGCACAGCAGGGCAGCTGCTCCTCCTCACAAACGCCACTGTTCTTCCTCTCTCTGTGAACACATTTCTTTATCACTAAAATCATTTACTGACTTTTGCACAAAATATCCAAATTTAAAAGATGGTGCAGAAGTCCTGTGGGTCAGAGCATTCAATCTGGAAACAAAGTGATGATTCATTGATTTCATCAACACTATTGAACTCATTTTCTGTCTGCCTTTCTCATTAAACATTCAGCAATCTGCTTGCAGTTTGCTGTGACTGCACATTTCCCACAAAGACTTCACAGTAAAAGCCTTCCATTGGAGGGTGCTGTTTATATCCTTCATGTTTTCCAGTCAGTGTATACAGATTATCTTTGTTTAGTTAATAATTGTGATTACTTTACAGAAGTAACTGATTAGTTACAGAAACATATCCAAGGTGAGCAGGTACCCCTCCAGCATAAACTCTAAGCAGCTAAAACATGAATGAATGTAAAAGGTGTCCCAGCTGTCAGTCAGACTGTACTCGGTGCTACATTAGAGATGTGGTTTCTGACAGCTGCTCCAGCTGCAGGATCAAACAGAAGTCCAAACATATTTGCCTTTGTTGCTTCTTATTATTGAACAACACAGCTGAGCATTGGTAATGCAGCCTTTAACATTAGCATTGTTAGCATATATGCAACAGAAATGTGGTCAGAAACTGGTATTGAGGGGCTGGCATAGCGAGAGGAGACGATCGCTGTTCCCACTCTCAAGTATTACAACCAACCCACCGCTGACTCGGTAAGAGTCAGGGGGTCATGCAGTGGGCCAACCCTTTCCCACTCAGTCTGAGGGGAACCCACACTGCACACTGGTCCTAATGTCAAACCACACAACAATTCCAAGGAAGGAGGAGAAGAAAGAAAGACTGAGGAAAGGAAACAATCAAAGGGAACATTAACAGATCAGCTTCTGTAGCGTCTCCAGGTTCTCCTGGTGACCAGCCGCTGTGTCCACACTGGCTCCAGTAGCTTCTCTTAATCTATTTAATCATTTATTAGTTAGGTGTGTAATTCTCATATTCTTTTCCCCCAACCTCATTTTGATCAGGACAAGTTTTTCTCTGAGTTAAACTAATAAGACTAGACATCTCTGTTCAGCAGCTGTGAGATGAAGGCTCCAGGACATCTTCAAGGATACTAAATATTTCAGAATAAGCTTCACCACAATCATTTTCAGAGCTCTGGTCTCTGCTATCAAACTACAACTGTTAAACTAGAACTACAGATTTCAAAATTTTATTTTAGAAACTTATTCTCAAAGGACAACATGAAAGATTATATCATTTTTTTCAAAAAATGTTTTCATAATTTTTAAACATTATTACATATATTTTGAATGAGTTGTATCCATGAAGTAAAGAAAAAAAAACATGTTTTAGAAGATCAGTCATTGCAGTACGAAACATCTATGAGATCAAAGACATTCATGAAACATTGCTGACAGTATCTCCTGTGACAACTTTGTGCAGCAACTCTAAACATTTTTGTAACTGTTGATCGTTCATGTCAGTTTGAGTTTGTTTGGTGCTTCTAAAACATTTTCTTACGTTACTTTGACGACATTTAGAAGAATTACTTGTTTGCTTTGTGTCTGTCTTGCTTTCTCCTGACATTTACTTCATATACACAATATCCTTCTGAGAACCAGCCTATACATTAATGTGATCTGTAATGGACATTTGTTTTTTTTATCTATATCTTTTGATTGATTCAAGCTGCCATACTAGTCAAAGGAGTTTGCAAAGAAAAGCGTCTGGACTTCTTTAAGTTACTTGAAGACGTTTCACGTTTCACCTCTCGAGGTGGCCTCTTTTAGCTCCAAATAGACAGGAAATCACAAGAAATGTTCAATGGAGAGATTATTTTTTTGGAGTCAGTGGATACTGAAGTGCAAAGTTTCTGCAGAGCCTATCACTACTTCATTTGGCCATCAGATTAGTTCAAGAACAAAGCTTCATGAAATAGGTTTCCATGACAACCAGCTGCATTCAATCCTGACATCACCAAGCACAATGGTCCAGTGGTGTAGAGCACATGGCCACTGGACTCTGGAGCTGCGGAGATGTGTTCTCCGGAGTGACCAATCACACTTCTCCATCTAGCAATCTGATTCACAAGTATAGATTTGATGGTTGCCAGAGCAAACCATCAAATCTATAGCAAACCATCCAGAAAATTTGATTATTTTTTCACAGCTGAAAAACAACATTTATTCTCTATTGGAATCTGCATCGTCCAATCCAAAGGTCACAATCTGAAGGAAACATCTGGTTTTGTTTCCTGTGATTAAATCTGAGCATCAGTATCGTGGGATTTATCCACTACATCCACACCACTGTTGTTCAGTGTTGTCATGATGGCTGTCTCATTAACAGCAGCAAGTATGATCCAGGCTTTAGCTGCTTTGGTTGTCACATTCAAAAATATAACTTTTTGATCTGATTTTAGATCAATTGTGTTAATACAGTATGTCAAAATGAAAACATAACTGTAAATTCAGACACATGAGGTTGTGCTGAAAAGAATGATACCAAACAAGGCAAAGTAAATAGTTTTTAAAGGTGAAATGTAGAAGTCAAATCAAAAGTAGTTAAAAATGGCCAATTATACCCTGGACCCCATGGTTAAACTTTTTTTTAAGTAACGCAATAGTTACTTTTCAAGTAATTAATTACTTTTAGAATCTTGTAACTCAGTTATTAACTAAGTTAATTTTTTGATGAAGTAACTTGTAACTGTAAGTAATTACTTTTTCAAAGTAACTTGCCCAACACTGCTCAGTACGCACTTTCCCCACAGACATGAGCATCACTGTCCTCAAACAGCAAATAACCAAGTATAATATTTTGATCTTGTCTCTTTCATTGTTCTTTCTTTCATTTCTTTCTTTCTTTCTTTCTTTCTATCTTTCATTCTTTTTAATGAATCTTTTTAACAATCTAAGGATGTTTCAGGTCATATTTATCCAGGAAAACACAAACATGTACAGGAGTCATCACAGCTCTCTGACCTCGTTGGTCCAGGTTCACCACTGAGTTGGAGGTTTCGTTTGGACCAGTCACTCCTCACAGACGGACAGCTGGACCTTGCAGACTGTGACCTCTGACCTCTGCAGACACAAACACGATTGAAGCAGCTGACTGCAGATAATGCAACTGTTTCCTGTCAGTAACAGTCCTCTTAGATTAGAGTTCAACTTTTTACAGGAAAACTGGACAAAACTGATTTTTGTTACAAACTCATTTTCATTTCCTCTCAGCTGACAAACACAGTCAGAAATTCAACCAGAATCAACACTAATTATAATGTCAGTGCAGAATTATTTCTGTTCCTCAGTGAGTTCAGCTCTCTGACCTCGTTGGTCCAGGTTCAGTACTGAAGTCTGGAGGATTATCTCTGGAGTCGTCACTTTCACAGCTGGATCCTGCAGACTCTGCTCTGTCCTCCTCTTTCTCCATCATCATCTTCTTGTGGACTTTAGTCAGTCTGAAATCACAAACACTCCGTGAGTTCACATTAACAGAAGTAACTGAGTTACAGTCGCTGACCTCTGACCTGTCATGTAACCTAGAAAAAAGGTCACATGATCCAGAGCAGCGATCACAGAAACATGATCTCACCTGCTGACTTAGAAATTTAAGTCATTTCGAAACACAAAACGCAAGACAATGACTGAACATTACGAACAGCTCTGAGTGTGATACAGTCAGCTCACTGCAAACTCTGACCTCAGTATGAATTAAAGCTCTTTTATGGCCACTAAGACACTTTAGGATCACATGATGTCCACACATGATATCTGTGACTGTCGTAGTTTAACATGTGAACTTCATACATGTAACATTCATGTTGATGCAGATCTCAGTCCCACATCAGCTCTGCTGAATAAT